TATTGCGTCCAGTGCACTGCCCATCGGTATGCTATCTGAACAAGCAGCTGAGTCCCGAAATAAATTCTAGCGTTCAGACAGAGAGCATCATTGCCGAAAAATGAACAGGAGAACCACAATGACGGACCTCTTTCACCGTGCCCTAGAATCATCAGACCCGTTTATTTCTATGGCAAATATCAGCCAACGTCGAAAATATTCTAAGCGATTTCCCTTGCCTTCAGCTGCTTGCGAGCTCTTACAACCAATTGATGCAGATCGATTGCCGTTATTCGAAGCAGAGGAAGATGCTGAAGATGAAGATTTTTCGAACGTCGCAAAGGAAAGCAACCTAGAATTATTAAACGAAGATGATTTATTTGTATAAAAGTTAAAGTAGAGGTGTTGCATAAAGAAGGTGCCGGCAGGTGATGACACTATCCTAGATTGATTTTAAATGTGAATGAATTTCTAAATCCAAAATTTCATCACAATCGTTAGATCCGTTTCCGAGAAACCAATTACATACCAATATATTTATATAGGTACATACAATAATTGCTCGTTTATAGTATAGGATGTGTGTTAAATTTTTTCAAACAACATAGTTTATTTTTTCGTTGCCATTTAGCGTGTAAGGCAAAATTAAAATGTGGTCGTCAAAATTAAAACATAAAGTATTCCTACATTATCACATCTACATTAGGTAGGTAGTATATGTAAGTATATTGTATTCGTCTATAAGTACAACACTTATTCAATTATAATATAATATAATTTATTCAATTGATTGACGGTATTAATAACAAAAAAAAACCATTTTCATTTAACTCATAGTTGACCTTTGTGACAACCCTAGATCATGAAAGTTGACCTTTATCTAAATTCTGTCATAACTTCTTAAAACCGCAAAAGTGAAACTTCATTTTTTTATGGGTGATAGAACTTGACTTATAGAACCTTTCTGTACTAAATCCAGGTTCCACTTTTGCCGATTTTTGGAGAAAAAAATTAAAAATCGAAATTTAAAAAAACTCTTGGAAACTAGGACACTTATAAATAAAATAAAATTACAAAATTATGCCATCAATAATTCCTTAGCAATTGGCAAATATCTCATGGACAGATATGGAACCGTCTTTTGAGGAAATTAAATTGTTAATTTTTTCATGCGCAAATTTCAAAAACTTTGCTACTTCATATCTTTTTTTTTACTTAAAATAGTGATCTGGGAATTAAACTCTTGCCTTTATTAGGGTTTAAATAATTGATTTATGCAAAAACCTTAAGGTGTAAATATTTTTGGTTCTATAAAACACTGTGCGTCGCTGTGAAATGATGTTCTAGCGCCTAACATGTGCTCCCGCTCCGGGCGCCCGTACTGACAGCCCGTACGGGTCTCCCGGATAGCTGTGAAACCAGCCTTAGGTATTTCGATTTTTCCATCCGGCAAAATATCTGGAATAATAATATAAATAAGTGGATAGGGTGAAAAAAGAGACAAACGAGTAATCTACCTACACTCACGTTAAAAACAAAACTACATAATAGGTTGGTAGTTTCCTAGACTAGGCTATCTACTTACTTACTTAACTACATACATCATTAAATAACTAAACTACATATTATTGAATTAAATGAAATATCATTATGAAATAATTTTCGAGAGTAATAAATGGTAGGTATTTTAGTGAACGGATATTTTTGGTGTATGGCAGCTTATTAGGTAATTTGGAAAAGAGACGGATTGTTAATAGGAATTGATAGCTGGAAAATAATAAAATAGGGAGATTTGTGCGGAGTTTAAAAAACAGTATTTTGTTTATTGATAATAATAATGTAATTTCTTGAAAATAAATGTGTTTCAATGTCAATAATTAGTTTGCATGAAACAATCCCTACAGTACCTACCTACATACTAAGATTTACCTACATTGTAGGTAATTTCCTTTCAACCCGACTGCGCCATGACTTACAAATGAATAATAATATAATAATATTTATTTCACAAGCCAGTTTTACAAGAATCGTAGAACACAATATACAGTATAGCTTAGAATATACATTTATAAATATTTATAGTATCCTCTGTGCCTGTACTAGGTTATAAAAATACCTGTATCACAGACACAGCGCTCATCCCTAAGGACCAGTTATACAACCTTTATGTAAGGAAAAAAAAATACCATAATATAACTTGTATGTTTAAAATAATCTTCTTTTATTGAATTATGTAAGAATAAAAATCAGCAGTCGGGTTTTTTACAAGTTTTTAATTGACTTGCAATAAAGGTCTAAAAATATAACTATGTGTGTTCGGGTGGAATCTAGCAACTCAATTTTGAAGCAGATATCTTCAACCGGTTCAGCTGAAATTTTGTATATACACGGTTAGCTGTGTGACGTCATTCTAAATCCAACATGGCGGAATAGTTATTTTTAATGCATTCCTACGATATGGGTATATTGGGCTTGCGGAGAATCTTTACATATAAAATAAAATATTTACAATCACAAAACTAGAAAGAAACTCAATTATGTAGATGAAACTAAAATACTGTAGGCGGGAGGCCCTACCGCGTGTAACGCAGCGCTCGGCCGTAGGCATTTATTTCAAGATCAGGGCCGTGTCACAATACTGTATAGATAATATTACCGTAGCCTCGTGTTGTAAGTCAGCATTCCGCTCTCCAAGCGAAAACATGTCGGCGCTTGTTTCTCCTGAGCACTCCGCGACGCTCGACAAGTTGGTTATCGAAGTCCAAGCCATAGAATATAGTTCTATAGCTATATATTTCTTAGCCCAATATTTTTTCCGAATATAGTCTTAAGTTCACTGTGTTTCATACTAAAGAAACCTTCGAGATACCTTTGTACAGTGAAAGAATGAATCCAGTATTACTGAGCTCTCTTTTTCTATCTCCTATCCTCCTCGAGACAACTTCTATGAAATCCATGTTAAAAATGAACAATCGAACGTTTTTTTATTTATCTTTCTAATTATAATTTTCTGCGATATTTAACAGCGCAATTTTAAAATAGTGCCGCAATACATAAAATCGTGGTGCGCGCTAGCACTTGTTTTTATATTTCATTGTATTTTATTTCTAAACGTCTTGATCAGTAGGACCATTGCCCATACAAAATAATTGCTAAGTGCCCATGGTCCTACTCATAAAACAACGGATAAAATTACCCGTTGTACTACTAGTTGGACCATGCAGTATAACCACGGGCAAGTAAATGAATGAATTTCGTTTTAAGAAATGCACACTCGGTACAATCACATTGTATAGGTATTTTTTCTTTATTTTTTTATGTTGCTTGATAATAAAGATTTTTGATGTGAAACATCTTTCCTCTAGCTTTCCTGCAATTTGTGGGAGTGATTTCGTGGAATGGGACGGAAGTGTGTTTGATTTTAGAACATAATGTTCAAATGCCTTATTCCTTGTAGTAGGTATTAATATAAGGTGAGGTTTCAAATGTTACACATCATACGAGACTACTGTAAGGCTCGCTCGTTTTTTTTTTGTTTATTTGTACTTCTGGTTAGTTGTGAATCTGGTGAAATGAGAATCTGGTAAACTGCTCATAAAGGCAACCAGTTGATCAATCCCATTTGCCAAAAGTGTAATTTGATCGCTGAGCACCCCACTAGAATACGCATTACAATTTTTTGTTTAAAATCGAAATTACCAAAGTTAACGGCATGCGGAGAGGGTAAGAGGCTTTTTGATTGGACACATCAGTGTGACGGCACGGTTATACTATTAGGCTTGGCGCATACGGGCGCCCTTATGTGCAATCTCTAGCAGGGGTGCTCTATGAATGTGATAGTATTCTCACGACGAGAATACAAATGTGAGCCTTATCAGTGCGGTGTATGGATGAGAATGTCTATAAATAATGCAATGCGGCGTACCCGCGTGAGGTGGTAGGAAAAAAAATTTAAACAAAGTTTCTTATAAATTAATTTTAGTCATTTTTTTTTTATTTCACTACAAGGATATTGCGTGCTTCGTCACGTGATGATGTCACGTCATGGCATTCCTCAGAAAGCCCAGCCATTGCTGAATTCACCGCCGCACCCATTTCAACTTTATATCATTCACTTTAGTAATCGTATACCTTTAACGTTAAGAAGTGACCCTTATAAATTCACGTTGATGTAATGCGCCGCGGGCAGCCACCAATAAAATGAAACGGCAACATACAATAAGGTTGGTATAATTAAACATTATATCGAAATAGTCACTTCACTTCAGTTCAATACCGCCTTTGCTGCATCGCGACGTCATTCAGCGCCGGTCTTGAGAGCCCTTTTACAAAATTGCGCCGCTGCCGCCGTACCGATCGACTTGTAGATTTGCACTAGTATATATTGCATTTTACGGGTGATGTTTCGAGTCTTTTAAAATAATTATTAATGAAAATGTTTGTTTTGATAATTAATAAGATGGAAAATCAAAATTCTAATACATTATGTTACAACAAAATCATATTTCTGATGTCGTAGTAATTAATTTGATTGATTTATTAAACATTATTGAGAGATTGAGGCGTTTGAAGTTGTGCATATTATCGTTTTTTCCGTAAACTAGCTGCAGTAGAACGTTCAGTACAAAAAAAGGAAAATAGTATTTGCAAATATTCTACATTAGGTTACAATAGGAAGAATAAATCTACTAAACAGTAGATTTATAACTATACTTTTATTGGAAATAGTCAAAATCTTTTCTAAGGGAGTGAACGAGGCGCTCAAAAATTACGATTTTATGCAAAAAATGTGAAAGGGCTCTTAAGAATTACAATGTATGCTAGCTACTACCGAGTACACGAATGAAGCCTTAACACTGAAGCGTAAGTATGAGAATGCAATGATAGATGTCAACAATAAATGCGAACACATATTTTTTGCAAATAAAAGTGGCTTTTCATTGTTAAGTTACTATTGATCCATATATACCTTTGGATACGGCCTGCAAGTTCTTATACAAACCATTAAAAGTCATTGATAATGTCTTCATATACTTTTATTTTTATATAAAATTCAAATGCGTCCATCCATTCGTCTTCTCACTATATATAAATACATTACTATACGTCCTCGCCTACAGCAAGTATTCAGAAAATAGCATTGGCTAATTACGATATTTAGCTAGCAGTATTAACTATGTAAATCGAAATTAACGTAAGCACATTATAATACATTGTATATTGGATACAATTAAATGTTACAAATATAATCAGAGTATGATGAATTCCATCATTTAAATTTCAGATAATCAAAGTTTACATATTTTACACTTCACAGTTAAACTAAATTTTAATTTCATAACCTATTTTTGCTATAATTTCAATATATCAATGGCAGAATCACATAAAAGCAAGAGTACAACTATTATAAGTACGAAAGAACCTTAATCCATAACAGCTGGCACAATGAAGATCTAGATGAGTTACACAACGTTACAATTAAAAAAATTACACTATGCCGCCACGGCACACAAGAAAACATGTATGACGCGTAGCGTAAAAATATACACAATAAATAAGATCATGGAATGTTATTATGATTTCATAACGTTCGGTGGCCTCCGCCGGAACAATGAAAGACAAGGAGTCGATATAAAAATAACGCTAACATTTCCGTTAAGATAAATTATAGCAAAAATATATGTTACTATATGTATATATAGGCCACAGAGTGTATACGCAGTAACATAATGGCGCGGTAATTGCACTGAACGGTGACTCGCGGAGAGTTCACTACTATAGGCACGACACGGCCGAGACTCACTGCACTGTCACTACGCGCACAAAACATCTCGGTGCCGCATCTGAAAAAAAAAATTGTTATAATTTTTATTTTTTAAGCATGTAACTGCTCGATGTCTCTTCGCATTGTAGATAACCCACAATGTCAAATGAATACCTTTACAAGTATTAAAAATTTAAAAGAAGAAATTGCAATAATAATTACATTTTTTTATTTTTTAAGCATGTGCTCGATGTTAAAATCTAAAGCAGTCAGCAGACGGGACTCGAACCCGCACCCTTCGCTTTCGGGGCGAATGCACTGACCATTATGCTACTGCAGCCCTGATAGCCGTGTCGAATTCTTTGTAACCTTTCTTAAGTTGCAAAGCAGCGCCATTTCTTCGCATTGTAGATAACCCACAATGTCATTTGAATACCTTGGTAGTTTTCCAATTACAGCACTAGATCGCATTATGCTTAACGTTGAATGTTTCAACTGCAGCAAGGCTTCGCACAATCGAGCACTCTCAAAAGTAATGTATTCGTGTGATGCGTGCAAAAATACTAACTCGGTGACAGAAAATTAACAAGTGTTTTTTCTTCAAGTTGGCATTGATCGAAATGTTTTATTTATATATTGTCGTTACTAATATTATTTATTGTTCAAAATTTTTAAAAATTCGTTTCATTGTATTTTTTTTAAATAATCAAAGTTAATTCAAACTGTGTTAAAAAAATTATAATCCCACCAAAAACATTCTGTAAAAACTAGCCAAGTCTCGATGGAGCTGCTTGTTTATCTCTAAAAAGTAATGAAATCTAGACAAAGTCGTGCCAAGTCACGGAGTACCCCCACTAGAGTCCGCATCACACAAATTTTGTTTGGTATCAAAATCGCCAAAGCCGGCGGCGTGCAGGGAGGTCAGCCCCGTTGCGATTGGGCGCGTCAAGGTCAGATCATATACTCAGTGCAGAGAAGGGATGAGATATTTCCTATCGATAAACAATTTAGTATAGGGGCCTAGTACTTTGGTGCGTTCTAATTACATGAGGCGACCAGTAACTACAAACAAAATAATATATAAGCAAAACAAAAATACGTAAGAATACGTGACAAATATATAGATAGACAATAATATGAAGTTTTTGATAATTTTTAAAACTTAAAGCGCCTTACTCATCGGGTCAGTACGGGTTCATTTCGTTTTGTCTGCGGGAGTGACAGGATGGGCGAGTCGAATGATTCGGTAGCATTCGGAAGGCTAAGTATCCGCTCGGTGAAGATCTGTACGGGAACCATTTTGTGGTATGTTGGGTGATAGCGGCAGGTTATAATAAATACAAAGACGTAGATAGGTTGGTGTCCATTTATTGAAGAAGGCTTAATGGTACAAAACATACTTATTTATAATATTAGTGCACTACGTAGTTACACACACACACACTTATAAAATATAACACACAATATTATTACAAAACATCAGCATTTCACGTGGCCTACTTTCGTGTCATTCAATGTTGCGTTGTATTATTAATACATATTTATTAAATTATTTTCATACTATCACACGCCCCCCAAAAATCTCCATTACACCCCTCTCCTCAAAAAAGAAAAAAAAAGTGTTACATTTTTTTTTCAACCACATACATTCAGCTAAATATTATCATTATAAAGTTTCGTATTATTCTTATGTACTACGTACTCTCTATTATTTTTTAATATCTTTACATTAGGTGACAATTCCTCTATTACTTCATAAGGGCCGTTATACACTCTATCTAACTTATCTCTTATTTGATTTTTTACCAAAATTAAATCTCCTTTTTTATATGTTATCGGGTAACTATTTTTATCAAATGTAGTTTTTCTACATAATTTATTAGTTAATAAATTTTTTCGCGCATCACACAGTGCTCTTTGTAGTCTATGTCGAAGTTCCTTAGGATAGTCATCATAGTTATATAAGGGAGTTACAGAGTCACTTAAGTTACTAGGTAAAATACAATTTTTTCCAAACACTAGCTCGTAGGGAGTATATTTTGTTTGCGTGTGTACCGAGGTGTTGAATGAGAAACACCAGTACGGAACCCAACTACTCCAATTGCTTTTGTGACTCTCACATTGTATTCTTAGAAAAGTGCCGAGATGTTTGTGAGTATTTTCTAACGATCCCATAGTTTCATGGTGATATGCAGTGGACTGTAATTTTTTAATACCTAATAAGCTACATATTTCGGTCATAATTTCGTTAAGAAATTCTGTTCCCTGGTCTGTAATTATTTCTTTTGGGATTCCATATCTAAGGATAAAATTATTTACAAAAGCTCTCGCTACCGATTCGGCGTCTTTGCGCTGCAAGGGATAGGCTTCAACGAACTTTGTTAGGTCGCACTGTAGAGTTAGTATGTACCTATGATTGTAATCGTCAACTTGTAAAGGTCCCATTATATCTAAACTAATTCTTTCGAAAGACGAATTAGGGGTAGTCGTTAATGACATAGGTTCCTTAATGTATCTATTGGTGTATTTATTTATTTGACAAAGCTTACATTTATTGACATAATTAACGACATCCTTTGTAATGCCTGGCCAAAAATAGTATTTTTTAATATTGTTTAGCATTCTATTTATTCCAGCATGCCCACTGGTGGGTAACAAGTGGAAGTCATTTAATATAACTATCTTTTCGTCCTCATTTCTGATACGCTTAACATCTTTAGTTATCAATAATCGCGGCCGACTCAACTTTAGTTTTTTAATTGTATTTGCAAGTAACTTAATATGTCCTTCATATATTTTATTTTTGATAATAAGCAATTCTAAGATATTTAACTTACTACAAAAACTCTCTAAATCTCTCGCTAACGCTTCTACAGCTGATAGCGATCGAGCATTTAGATAAATTATTGACCGCTTTGGTACATATACACAATATCCACTTGAGGACGTAAAAACTTCGTCGTTTCCGTCATATTTGACCGAGTGACTAAAACATAATTCGATAATATCCGGTGGTGGCTTGAGAATTTCCACGGCCAAGGGGTGATCAGTCCCATGACTATGCAAATTTTCAGGATTACTATAATTCTCTAAGTCACAGTTTTTATTACGACTATTTTTTTTTGTTTGTGCTCTAGTAAGTACTGATACTAAGTGTTCACGCATATTTTTTAAATCATCCAATGTCACCGGGATGCGACTCAATGCGTCTGCAGCCGCGTTGTGTCGTCCTGGGACATAGCCTATCTCAAAATCATATTCCTCTAAATATAAACGAAATTTAGTTTGCCTACTGGAAGGATCTGTCATAGAAAATAAATAAATAAGAGGCTTGTGATCGGTTAGAATTTGGAATTTCCTACCATATAAATAAGGTCGAAAATGCCTCACTGCCCAAACTATGGCTAATAGCTCCAAGTCTATAATCGGATATCGCGTCTCAGCGGGCTTTAAACTTCTACTTGCGTATGCAATAACTCTATCATTCCCATTGGATAATATTGCACCTAAACCTGTTCTTGAGGCATCAGTCTGCAATTTAAAAATATTATTTTCAGAAAAATCGGGATAATCCAAAACTGGGGGTTTTATTAAAGCAGATTTTAATTTTTTGAATGCTTCGTCACAATCAGCTGTCCAATTAAATGCAACATTCTTTTTACAAAGTCTATTTAGTGGATGTGCAATTTCAGCGAAATGTAAAATAAATCGTCTATAATAGTTAGCGAAGGCCACGAATCTTCGGACCTCGTCAACGTTAGTCGGTGTCGGATAACTTTGCAAGGTTGTTATTTTGCTTGGATCAGGAAATATGCCTTTACTTGTTATTTTATGTCCTAAGTATACTATCTCTGTTCGTAAAAATTCACATTTTAAAGGGTTTAGTTTTAAATTAACTTTTCTTAAGCGTTCTAACACAGAAATTAGGTTTTTATTATGATTTTCTATACAATTTCCTATAACGATACAATCGTCTAAATAAATAAAACATTGATTATAATTCAATCCAGACATAGCTATAGTCATCAATCGAGAAAATACGCTAGGGCTAGTTTTAAGTCCCATCGGACAACGCTTCATTTGGTATATTTTATCAGCTGTGAAAGCGGTGCACTTACGTGAATCGGGATGAAGGGATAATTGGTACATTCTATCTAAATGGAAAGCAGTGTATTTTCTTGAATTTTCATTTAAATTTAATTGATAATAACTTTGGGACAAATCTAATTTTGAAAAATACATAGAATGTGATAAGGAATCTAAAATATCTGTAATATTGGGAAGTGGAAATTTATCATCTTGAATTCTATTATTTAATTGCCTATAGTCAACGACGAACCTATACTTCTTTTCATTATTTTTGTCGGTCTTTTTCGGAACAAGCAAGACGGGACTAGACCACTCCGAGGTGGATTCCTCAATAATATCGTTGTCTAACATATCCTGTATTTGTTTACGTAACTCTGGTTTTAAAGAGTGTGGTATTCTGTAGGGTTTTATATAAACAGGAGTCGCATTATCCTTTAAAGTAATTTTATGCTCCATTAAATTAGTGACTGACAGTTTATCACCTGGGAGATGAAACACGTCCGCGTACTTAGCGCAAATAGACTCAATGCTAAGTCGTTCATTTTTGTTTAAATAACCTAGGTTAAGAAGTTCAAATAATGTTTTTACACGATTTACTGAAATTTCCCTTTCCGAAAAATTACAAACATCGAAATGATGCAAACTATGTACTTCTAAATGAGAAAAATCATAAATTAGGTCATTTTCCGTCGTATTTAATATTCTAATCGGGATAAGCCCGTTTCTAGGCCTCGACAAAACACCTGCAATAAATACTCCCTCTCTTATTTCATTCGCAAGGACGACACAATCGTCGGTTATATTCGTAGGTATGAACTTAATAGTTTCACACCTCGCAGGTATGTTGTGTTTATACCTGTTATTTATACACATACTTATCGATTTAGACGACTGAGTTAGGCTTAAAATGCCTTTACCATAATCAATTAACGCTAAATATTGTTTTAAAAAGTTATCACCTATTATTCCATCTGCAGAGCATGACAGGTT